TTATAGATATAATACACATGAAGACCATCTGCCTGCGTGGCACGAATCAAGCACGACATGACATGGATAAGGAGACAGTTACGGCGGCCCCCTATCACCCTTATAGCGGTCGTTGCGACCGGAATTTTCCCAGGAGCTAGTGCGTTCTGGATGAGATTTATATGGAAAAATGGTCTGGTTGGTCCCAGAGCTGTTTTTGAAGGAAGCTCAGGTCTCGTCCTGTACCTACTGACTGGGGAGACGCCTCTACTATCCGATACTTTCAAGTTCCCAGAAGGCGCCACACAGTGCCAATTAATGCAAGACCTTACGGTAGATAACCATGGTCCCGCAGATCCCATCCCAGGAATGATTGGAATCGTGGATTCTCCTCGAGTAGGTCTGAAAGTTGAGTATTTGTTATTTTTCGAAGATGAGGTTTGCGGAACACGTCCAGCGATGTTCCTCAAACTTAGGGCGTCAAGAGAAAACCAAAGTCCAACCGGGAATTACTATTTTGTCAATATACTAGACCATGCTGTTCCAGCCGTAAAGAGCTGGAAACAGGCGGACCCTGACGATCCGATCGATCGAGGTGTAATCGAAACCTGGGATCCTTCAGCGCAACGAAACCGCGAAAGAACACACCCAAGTAGATTATTCGTCAATATAGCTGAACAAGGCGGGTTTATGCGATGGAAGCACCTTATCTCCGATGAAAAGCTCGGGCCCAGCACTGTTCTTAAGAATGATTCACAGATAGAAGGTTCCCTAGGCGCTCATTTGATGCAACCTTTTGCGGTCTGGTTAAAAAAGGAAGAAGAATATGAAAAGCAACAGTCAGAACTGAATACGGATTTTGGGTCCGAAGACTTCAATTTTATCCCAACGAATGACTTCACCTTAGGTTCACAAAGAATTGGAGCATATATGATACAAGAGGAGTACAGAAGGCTGGGACTGCCAGTGCCCCAAATCAAAGCACAAACGGGTCAGGCTCCAGAGTCTCGCCAGCGCCCTGACCAACCAGCCAGTACCGATTCACAAACGATTACTCAAAATGCTCAAACAGTCGTGCTACCGGAACAAGAGGTGCCACAGCAGGCGAATCTCCCAAATCAGGAGTATCCTAACGCGAACGATTATGTGGCATCTCTTACGGGTTATTCGGGCTTCGACCCTTTGAACCCCCAACGCTCCGAATATTTAAGCCAAATCCCATCTAGTTTTCAGCAGCCGACTTATGACTACGACCCTTTTAGACTACAGCAAAACCCGAACACAAACAACAATCCTTCGAGACAACAGCAACTAGGTGGCGGTCGCGGGTATCCGCAAGATGGACATCACCCAAACCGCCCTCCCACTTAAAAACCCCAAATCTCTAGGATCAGGTTTGGCCATAATGAAATAATCTGTATCCGTTATCATGGGTCATCCGGAACCGAAGTCTGCTGCGGGCCCTTGACTTTAAACGATATAGATCTAGGACTTTCCCTCATTCATCACTAGGAAACTTTATGTATAACCACAATCACAAAATCATTTATATCGGAACTTTGGCGCGCTATTGGAGTGGCACTGTGGAAAGCTGTTCAAATTTTCAATTAGTTTAAAAACCGGGGTAACAGGTATAATTATAAGAGAAAAGATCTCAATAGCGATAATGATAATTAGGTATACCCCATTGTCCGCCTTGATCCCGGAATTTCAAGTCTCTATGAAGATACTGTAAATTTTCCATAAGGCTCTATAATCCTGCTCAAATATGGTATAAAATGCTCAATAGCTGTGGATCAACTTGCTTGCATTCAATGCCCAGGCTCACGTTATCAAGTTTCAAAGTTGGAAATTGTAATTGCCTAGTCTAATATTACTGTAAAGCCTTCTACCTAAGCTTAATAATAGAGGCCTAACTGGCTCCTCGAATAACGAAATGCGACTGGGGCATACTAACGGTTGGATCTCGTACTTTCTAACAAGCATATGGCTGCTTGTTATGCCATGCCATGCCTTCTATCGGCTATGGGGTTACACAGACCTCCGCAGAAACCTAGAAAACGACCGATTATTCAAAGCCCAGTCTTCTCTTCTCACAAGGGGTGGAAAAGCGAACCAGAAACCGCTATGCCAGCCGTTTCCAGATCCAAGCGATTCGAACCTTGGCGTGATTAGGGTGGTTGGAGTGATGAATCATCCAGGTCTAGCCAACCCGATCCAGGCGCTAGGCTTGTGGGAAGAGAAGAATTTCAACTGTGGGTCATTTTTGCCACGGCTTGTTATCTACTTTCAACCAGGGCAGGAGACTCAAATTATCGACCTGCGGTCATTTGGTGGGGAGTGGGTGTATTCTAACTGGAAGCAAATCGTACCCGATGACCAATACTGGAAGGAGTTTATTGCGCCAGAGCTTACGGAAGAGAATAAATCTGGCAACGGTTTTGTTAAAAAGATAACAAGGAAGAACGGCGACCACAACTTTGCAGAGGATGTAGATATTGTTTGGGATACACAAAGACCGGAAAACTCATGGATAATCGACAAAAGGCCAGCACTTCTTGCGCGAGACGCATCAAAATCAGGATTCGAGTCACGTTTTAAAACGGAGCTGCAGACTCTTCTTGAACAAGACAAAACTCAGCCTTTGGGGGATGACGAAGCCAGAGCCCTAGCTGTCGAGCTTACTATCATGAGACAAGCTCTGATGGAACAATATGGGAAATGGCAGATGGGTCGAATTGACAGGCATGTAAAAGGTCTCCCGCAGCAAAAGGGTGGTCAGTTCGCGAAAGATGCGGAAGCAGATCCCCCAATTTATATAATGGAACCGTACCGTGTTTGGGAGCAAGACAGTACAGCACAGAAAGACCAACAGGTCAATGGTCGAGTGAATAATGACCAAGAGAACAATAAAGACACTCTAGGCCTTGTTGAGATGAAAGAGGAAGAGGATGAGGATGCAGCGTCCAGAATAGCTGCACCAAGCTTCATGTTGCCGGATTCCGGTCCTAGTATCTCTGTCAAACAGGAGCAGGGGGATCTGGGTACTAACCATGGTGAAGTACTCGGTATACCAGCATATATGAGCAACATCTATCCTGCAAACATGGCGAGTACGGTGAATATGGAATACCTAGGAAATAATGGTCTTGGAATCCGAAATCCCTGGGATAATCCGGTTATCAACCGCAATCCCTATACTAACAACTATGCTCAAGAATTGAATATACAATCCGGTTTAAACAAACCGTGGGCTCTTTCGTTCGACGATGTTATAACTCTACGACAGCAAAACATGCTTCTGGCGCATAGTCTTCTTGAAAGACGAGCTCTCGAACAAGCCATAGCAAACAATGGTCTCCTGCCTATTCGACCTCGCCCAGATATGAACCAACCTATCATCCCCAAACCTATTAGATTTCCTGCCCCAATACCCAAATTCGTTAACCCAACAGCCGCCAATACTCGAAACGGCGGCGGTAAACGGGTTTTACCACCCGCCGAAGATATTATTAATAGTATTGAAGCTGATCAGCTTCGTAAAGCGTTTGTCCCAAATGAAGTCCGCCAACAACCAACATGGGTGCAAGTTCAAGGGCAGGCGAACGAGCAACAAGATAGAAATCCAGACCGTTTGCAGGAGGCGCAGGATTTCATTCGAGATCTTTTAACACGGAATAAGGGAGGGAACCGGAGATCCTCGAAGGATCCGTAAAAACCGAATGACGGATACTATTGTCGTCTGGATATATAGTGCGACAGAAATGATGTCGACATTGACCTGTCAGACGGTTCTCGCGGCTGGGAATTCAGTAATATAGTCAATAGTGCTTGTACTAGCGGCTTGCAATGTAACATATAACACAAGACTACAGCGGGCCCCTGGTAGATCTACGCCGCTAGTCTTGAAATATCTAGATGGACATAGATCTTGTCTATTGGAGTTAAAAATTGCAATAAAAAAAAAAAAAAAAAGATGTTGACATCTGCGCGGTTCGAACGCGCGCGCTCTTTCGAGCATTGGTGTGATTTAAGTTTGCTAGACAAACATAACTTAAAACCAACTCCATAACCACTCGGACAAGATGCCTAATCGGAACTTTGAGGGTTGAGATGTAATATATGAGGCTTTACTACTATCTTGTCGGTGTCGGTTCTGGCAGTAGGACTCTCATAGGTTCACCCCAGAGTTTGCGAAACAGCCAAGCTGTGAACAGGTGAAATGTTATCAGGATTAACATCTTGACCTCAATGCACATGCTCCCATTCTGCTAATAAAATACAACATAGTTTTATTCACAAAGGCATAATATAGGCACCTAATTGTTAACTGTTTCACTCAAAGATGTGAGAGACATTAATTGCATTGTCATCAGAGTTGCAAAATGCTACCTATCTGGTCTCGTATTCAGTTGGAACGGGTACCAAAACAACACTTCAACACAAAAGTTGGCCGTCTCTGCTTGATGGGGGCTGGTAAACGGTATGTATAGAGCCAATTCTATTTCGCGGTTCCAAAATCGCACAACAATAACTATCTGCCTATATGACTCAGTACTTGTCTTGTTTTCCTACAAGATTAAATCTCCAGTCTTCATTCGAGATCTGCGGGGGCAACCTTACTGGCTAGCACATATATATGACTTGGCCGTACAATACAACTACGTATGTATGTGGGCTGATGGGCAGGTATATAATTTGCGAGTAACTTCTAGCATCATTCCGGTCGTTCCGCTGGCCATAATTTTGAAATAATTTTTGTTTCGGTCTCGGATTAATTATATCATTTCTAGAATTGAAGTGTTCCGGGATTCGAGATTCATGAACCTGAAGCCCTCGTGACCTAATCCAAATTCATATTGCAAGGGAAATTAATCCGGGAACTGGTCAAACGGAGAGGCAAGGGCAAAAACCCAATACCCCTCCTCCTTGTAAAAAAAAAAAACCTCCCGCAGATGAAACCGATGGCTTCAGATGAAGGGAATAAATGAGATGGTAAAAGAGCTGAACAAAAAAAATCATGGAGACACAGGGAATTGAACCCGGGACCTCATCCATATCAGACTGCTTGCGCACGCTAAGGAAGCGCTCTACCAACTGAGCTATATCCCCGATTTGATGAATTTCGGAATTCAAAGTGCAATAATAATGCTTTTGCAAAATTTTCGCGGTGTGTGACGGATTTGGTGATTCCTTGAATCCGGCTAGCTTAATCAGGAAGGATATCGAATTAAACGAACAGCTAGAAAACCTTGTGCTTGGAGGCCGACAATGTTTGCGACGAAACCTAACCTGGCATTCTTTCTTTCTTTTTTATAATCAAATTCTTCCTTCAAGTCTACATTAAGGTGGTTCGCCGGGTTGTGCTAAAGTGATCACTAACTAGACCATGTTTGCTCGATATAACCCATTTTGGGCTTCCGACATCCACAGTTTTCCTACAATTGCTCGAGGCCAAGGAGTGGCGCATCCTGTGTTCTTTGGCAGGAATTTCGATGGCTATCGTTCGGATTGAGCACAGTGGCCAGACCCTCGAGATTACTTTCTATACATTTACAAGTTTCAAAGCACGTGTATACAACTATGCCAGGCTGGGGACAACCATACGTGATATACGTCTGGAATATATTCCAGTCTGTGGGAAATCTTTGACAAAGTAAACTAAGGATCGATATGAGAAAAAAAACAAGATAGCTTTCTGCGAACCTGCATTTAACTTAATTTACAAAGTAAGGCAATATACATGATATGTCTAAACACAAAATAATTTTGATATGGGATCGGCTAGCAAATTGAACAATTTAATCAGTTACAAGTATGCCACAGGTACAATAGCGGTGGTAGTTTCCGGTGGGGGAATTGGTTCTGTTAGATATGGGCGCGGGGAAGGAGTAGGAAGGTTATCATAGTCTGAAGCCTCTGGTCCGTAATCCGAGTATGTTGGTCTCCCCGTCACGAATCTCACAGGGTCGTAATTATAACTCTGTGGAGGCGGCACTTCGGAGCTGGCGTTATCGAGCAAAGCGACACAAAGCCAAAGGCCAATTGTGCAAGTGCATTCTTCTGGGGACTTCATGCCGTTCCACTGCGCGAGCAACTTCAGATCCAATGAAAGTCTCTGGGAAATTTCGTAGCAAGTGTCGCCTTTCTGGACCAGATGCCATTGGTTGCACCTTGAGTTATGGCCTTTACCCTCTGGTGTACCTGGAGGAACAGTGCACTGTGGAACTTGGTTAGCGGTAGTGCATGTATTTCCATTCTCGGGATTAATCTTGACTGTTTGAAGAGTTGAAGGACACGGAACAGTCGTAGTTAAAGTCGTTGCTGGACAGCCCTCGCATTTAGTGGTGACATAGGTCACTGTGGACCAAGAAGATACCGTTAAAGGTGTAGAAATAGTTGGCTCTGAAGTCGGCATAGATGTGATGACCATTTGAGTTGTAGTAGCCATAATTGTCCCTTTCATATCGGAGGATGTGGTAGTGGGACATGGCACTGTGGTTGTAACTGTGGTCGGATCGCATCCACCACACGGTTCGGTAACATAAGTTGTCGTCGTCCATGAGATGGTCTTTGATGTGTTCTCCATTGGAGGAGCTGAGGTTTCCTTATAGGGATCTGAGGTCTTGGGAGCTGCGCTGGTTTCCATAGTATACCCGGGTGGCGGGTGGCACTCCGGCCGACACGAACCAATCCAGCCGTCGTTCAAACAGCCACAGCCTTTCGCAAGTGCTTGACTTATCCCTGAATTGGATTTACACTTTGCGAAGGCTTTTTGGTAGACTTCCGTATGTTCAGCCGGCCATTCACGCTGTTGGTTATCAGCGCATTGATAATTACATAACACTGCGGCAACCCTCATGCCCTCTTCAGTACCAAATAACTTATCAAGACAGTTTCCGGATGGCCATTTACCCTGACCTAGGTATTCCTGGGGGCATTCTTTCACAGGAAAAGTCTTCATGGGTGTTGGAGCTGAAGTGGTGGATACGTATGCTTGGGGAACTGTATTTTCAGTGGGTGCCGATGTATAGGCTGGAGGAGTAGACATTTCTGAGACGCTATAATCAGTTGAAGTGGTAGATGTTTCCGGGGTGCCATAATCGACTGGGCCGGGTTCGTTCCCTGATTGATCAGCCCGCGGGTAGATACAGGTTTCTCCTCTATCTGTGGCTTGCTTTAGAACACACCCGCAGTTCTCCATCAAAGCATCCACTAAACTTGCATGCGAGAGGCCGCACATTCCAAGGTAAAACTGGTAGGAAGCATTTTCCGACTCGTCCAGAGTAGCAATGTCTTCTTTATTGCAAAGTAAACTACACATTTCCTCTTGCGCCTTCTGGTCCCAACTTTCTGCCGCTTTCAAACAATTATCCGGCCAACTCCGTTTAACGTCGATACACGGCTTGGGGGTACATGTAGCTGGAAGAGTTAGGGGCATGGAGCTATATTCAGTGGCTGTAGGCTGTACGTATGTCTGGCTTGGAGAGTCAATACTAGTAGAATGGCTACTGGCGTATGCTCCTGGTATAAAGTTAGAGGGCGTGTCCGTCGGGACGGGGCCGCTGTAAGGTTGTTCAAGATCTATGCAACCGCAGACGGTTTTTAGGGCCCATGGTAGAGCTTCACCACAAGCATTATAGGCCTCTGTGTATGCCTGGAGGGTGACATCTGGGAGCTCGCCCCATTTACGGCCCCTTTCTCCTGACTTGGAGGCAGCATCACAGAGCGCTTCAATGTTAGCCACGTCGACTGTTCCAAGGCACCCAAAATCGATGGTTGAACTTTCATAGTTTGCATTTGTAGGCTGCGGGCACCGGTCAATAGTCCATGTTATAGAAGGAGGCGGGTAACCTGATTCGCTGGTAGCCGTAGTGGCTGGGGGCGCGGTTTCATATACCATGGATGCTGTCGTTTCCGCCATGGTACCGGCACTATACGAAATGGGAGAACTAGATGATTCTTCCATGGTATTATATCCCATAGGAGGCTGGGAAGACTCCTCCATGGTACCATATTCCGTAAGGGGCTGGGAAGACTCTGCCATAGAAGTGTAACGTTCAGGGGAAGACATAGTTGATTCCTCGGTCATTGTAGCTGTCGGCTGTGTCTCGGAATATTCATCCATAGGAGTGTAACCTTGAGGGGAAGACATGGAGGATTCCTCGGTCATTGTAGCTGTCGGCTGCGTCTCAGAATATTCGTCCATAGGAGTGTAACCTTGAGGGGAAGACATGGAGGACTCCTCGGTCATTGTAGCTGTTGGCTGCGTCTCGGAGTGTTCGTCCATAGAACTATAGCCCATAGGCGGAGTAGTAGTTGTCATAGCTTCTGAGATAGTCTGGGCAGGATAGTATTCATCCGTTGACGATGTGACTTCCGGTGCGTAGGATTCCATAGATGGTGCTGTTTCCGTAACGTAGCCCTCTATAGATGATGTGGGTTCCACAACGTATCCTTCAAAAGTGGGTATAGTAATCTCATGAGGAGTCTCTGTTGGTGGCTCATATACCTGCGTCTCGGTATATTCTTCTGTAGTGGCCGTCATAGATTGTGACATCTGATCTTCCGAGGATGGTTCCTCGAGATACTCAAGCATTGATGTGGTGGCGGGCTCTGTAGTACTGGCCTTCTTGGTATGCGGGATCTTAGTGTGAGACGGCGTGCCATATGCCATATCCTCGGTCGAAGTCTCTTCCGCCTCACTCACTGGCATGGTAGTTTCCTCTGAGAAGGTTTCGGTCATAGTGGGTTCCATTTCTGTACTAGATACCTGGCCATAATGATTTTCAGACATGGTCGGGGTAGAAGCATCTTGTTCAGTAGTGCTATCCATGTCCCCTGTTTCGTATCTCCCACTGGCGCTCGCAGAAGGATACATTGAAGGAGTTTCAGAAACTCCTCCCGCTATAGAGGTCGCCATAGTCTCCTCTTCAGTCGCAGAGGTAACCATAGTTTCCTCTTCAGTCGCAGAGGTAGCCATGGTTTCTTCTTCAGTCACAGAGGTAGCCATAGTTTCTTCTTCAGTCACATAGGTAGCTCTATGCCTATTTTCTTCTTTAGTCGCAGAGGTAGCCATGGTTTCTTCTTCAGTCGCAGAGGTAGCCATAGTTTCTTCTTCAGTCGCAGTGACCTGGCCTGTAGTTGCTTCTGGCTCTGGATCCGAGGTTGCAGAGACTTCGGTGTCATATCCTTGAGTTATTGATGGCATTAGCGAGGCGTCGGTGGATGTTTCCTCATCAAGACGCGTTTTATCAGCGGGGCCACTGGAATTTGATAGCTCTGGCGATCCAGTTTCTCCCTCCATGAAAGAAGATACAGTTGAAGTCGGCATGCCATCTTCAGCAGAGTTCGTATAGGCCTGGCTCTCCTGCGTGCTTGTGGCTTCCACTGTTTGGTTGTTATCCTCTGTATTAGTTTCTACTGGTTTTTCATCCTTATCGTTTTTAGTGGTCTCAGCTTGATCCGGGCTTGCGGTACTTGTAACAGATCCCGTGGCTTTGATGGGTTCATCCAGTTTGATATCACACTTTTGCATCCCCCAGAATCCATCTGCATGGCAGGCACATGTTTCCACCAGCGCCTCAACAATTGCACCATGGGAACCACATTCTTTTAAGAATTCCTCGTAGTCTTCTGGTGTAATCGCCGGTGCATTATCGGCGCTGAACTGGTTCGATGGATCCCCTGGAACATATGACTTGTTTTTGTCCGGGCGCGAGCAAACTGCTGAGCAGGTTATGAAACCATCGGTGTCTTGCTGCAGCTTTGAGATACAAGAGGCCTTCATGATTCCCTCTTTTTCGTTAGCACGACATTCTTTAACCACGGTCGCCAAGGAGACTCCAGCTAAGAGGCACTGAATGCCAATGAAAAGCAAAGTACCCCGCATTTTGAGATACAAAGTAATAGCTTTAAGCCCGAGGGCTCTGGTCGCTTTAAACTTTTATAAGCGGAACCCAAGGCAAACTGTCGAAGGTTGAGGGCGAGTAAATAATATAGAATATAGGTGGGAGGAACTTTGCAAGACTAGCTTATACTTGGGTCTAGGTCACATATACTTCCAAGTTAAAGTTTGACTTCATGGGAGAACGAATGACTATATGAGGGGA